TCAATCTTCACTGAGGGCCAGTCATCAACTGTTTAAGTGTTCAATTATCAATAAGCCGAAGTTTGTGGAAGGCCATAATGGCTCTGCTTTAAGTGGTTCGCTACTACCGCAGCTCACCACACTGTCTCTGCCTCTGCTGCCATCTTGGATCTCTGAATCTTGGATTTCTTATCACAGCCCATCTCTAACTTTTCTAGGTCTCTTACCCTGCTTGTAATCTGAGCAAGCCATAGTGTTTCTAGCTAACTCCAGGAGAAAGCATTAGCAGTGGATAATAATCTTTTCTTGAGTACACTGGAGTTTTTCAGGTTTAGATCATCAAGGAGGGAGATGGTTTGGCAATTCCTTTGTGTTATTATCCTTTTCTTCATGAAAAAATACGTTTAACAAATTTTATTAGCTCTAAGATAGCATCTCTGCCTTCCAAAGTTTACAATATAAAAGGAAATGGAGACAGGTACAATGTGACATCCATCATAATATTGAGGCAAAGAGTGATGGTAATGTGATACTCACAGTTCTCCAACACAGAAAACTAGCTTTGATCCTAAAGGTCCAGTAAGCCTGGTACCTGAGCAGAGCCTTGGCGAAGCTTTCTACAAGATAGCCATTTTCAAGGATCTCTTTTAAATCTCCAAGAATCTGGTGTAATGAACAAAATGTTTGAAAAGCTTTTCAGAACTGTGGTCAAAAACTCAGAATTAGGGTTAAGATTGGCCTGAACCCCCAGGGCCAGTCACTGAACATCATGAACCCAGGCCATAACCCCAACATAGCGAGCATGAATCCACAGTACAGAGAGATGTTGCGGAGGCAGCTGCTACAGCAGCAGCAACAGCAGCAGCAGCAGCAACAGCAACAGCAGGGGAGTGCGGGCATGACTGGAGGCATGGCCGGACACAGCCAATTCCAGCAGCCACAGGGACCTGGAGGTTATCCCCCAGCCATGCAGCCACAGCGGATGCCTCAGCATCTACCCATCCAGGGCAGCTCTATGGGTCAGATGGCAGCCCAGCTGGGGCAGCTGGGGCAGCCAGGGCTGGGTGCAGATGGCACGCCCAGCATCCAGCAGGCCCTGCAGCAACGGATTCTGCAGCAGCAGCAGATGAAGCAGCAAACTGGGTCACCAGGCCAGCCGAACCCCATGAGCCCCCAGCAGCACATGCTCTCAGGACAGCCCCAGGCTTCTCACCTCCCTGGCCAGCAGATGGCCACGTCCCTCAGTAACCAGGTGCGATCTCCAGCCCCTGTCCAGTCTCCACGGCCCCAGTTCCAGCCACCACATTCTAGCCCATCACCACGGATACAGCCCCAGACTTCGCCTCACCATGTCTCTCCTCAGACTGGCTCCCCCCACCCCGGACTCACTGTCACCATGGCCAGCTCCATAGATCAGGGACACCTGGGGAACCCCGAACAGAGTGCAATGCTTCCACAGCTCAACACCCCCACCAGGAATGCACTGTCCAGTGAGCTTTCCCTGGTC